GTGTTTTTTATTTTAAAAACAATTTTTGGCCGCGCTGTGTGGCTTGGAGGATCTTACTTCCCTAACCAGGGATTGAAGCCGTGCCCCCTGCAGTGGAAGTGTGGAGTCCTAACCACTGGACCACCAGGGAATTCTCAAGGGAGCGTTTTTAACACCCTTTGCTCCCCAGCGCCTGGTTTTAGGGTCTCTATAGGTTCTGGTCGTTTATGGGGAACGTGGGTCTGTTAGTTTCCTAGGGCTGCCGTAGCAAAGCACCCAAAACGGGATGGCTTACGGCAGAGATTTATTGTCTCACAGTCTGGAGATCAGAAGTCCAAAGTCAAGGTGTCGGCAGGGCCACGGTCCCTCTGACAGTTCTGGGGGGGATCCTTCCTTATCTCTTCCAGCTTCCGGTTTTCCAGCAATCCTTGGCGTTCTCTCCAGGCACATGGCTGTCTTCTCCCTGTGTATCTCCACATGGTCTTCCATCTGCGTGTGTCTGTCTCTATGTTTAAATTTCATCTTTTTATAAGGACACCAAACATATTGGATTTGGGCCCACCCTAGTGACCTCATTTTCACTGATTACCTCTGTACAGACCTAATTTTGGGGAATTCCCTGGTGGTCTAGTGGTTAGGACTCTGCACTTCCATTGCAGGGGGCATGGGTTCGATCCCTGATCAGGGAACTAAGATTCTGAATGCTGTGCAGAGCGGCCCAAAAAGAAAAAAAAAAAAGGACCTTATTTCCAACTAAAGTCACATTCTGAGGTCTTAGGGGTTGGCACTCCCACGTATCTCTTTGGGGAACAAAATTCAGCCCATACACTGGTGTCCACTTTCCTACCACCTTGAAACTGGGGTGACCTGAGTGAGCGAGTGGGGACGAGGTCCTATGTGATTCGCCAGCTGGGGTGTGCCATGAAGGTGTCAGGGAGCTTTCTGGACCACCTGCATGTCTGCTGTGTTTTGGTGTCCGTCTCCCTGCAAAGCATCGTCCAGCCATGGTTAGAATTGAGTCTTTAGTGCCTGTCACCCCTCTCAGCCCTGAAATGCTGTCCTGGTTCCCACCCTCAGGCTGGGAGGTATATTTTGCTGACCTTGCCCCTTTGACCTTCCTTGTCAACACTTTGGGCTCTTATCTGTGTCTAAGGGACACTCATGTGTCCCTTTAGCTTGTGTGTGCTGCTCCCAGGAGGGGCCATGCCTTATTCATTCATTGTCTAGCCACTCCACAGTATTTCTGGGCTCACAGTACTCTGCAAGCTCATGTGGCCTGGAGCAGTCATTCATTCATTCACTCATTCATTCCCCAGACATTTAATGTCGGTATCAGGCACTGGGCAGAGTGCTAGGGAGACACTGGGGGACAAAACAGACCGAGAATCCTGTCGCCAAGTCCTCACAGTGTCTGGCGAGACGGGTCAGCAAATCGTTATAACATTAAGTGCTCCTTTTTTTTTTTTTTTTTTTTTTTTGGCGATCCGGGGGCCTCTCACTGTTGTGACCTCTCCCGTTGCGGAACACAGGCTCTGGTTGCGCAGGCTCAGCAGCCATGGCTTACAGGCCCAGCCGCTCTGCGGCATTTGGGATCTTCCCAGCCCGGGGCCGGAACCTGTGTCCCCTGCATCAGCAGGCAGACTCTCAACCACTGCGCCACCAGGGAAGCCCTCCTTATTTTTTTTTTTTAATTTCATTTTTTTAGAATAAATTCCTTTATTTTTTATTTATTTATTTTTGGCTGTGTTTGGTCGTTGCAGCGTGCAGGCTCAGTAGTTGCGGCACACGGGCCCAGTAGTTGTGGCGCACGGGCTTAGTTGCTCCGCGGCATGTGGGATCTTCCCGGACCAGGGTGCGAACCCGTGTCCCCTCCATTGGCGGGAGGATTCTTAAGCACTGCGCCACCAGGGGAGCGCTAAGGGCTCCTCCTTGAGGACACAGACACAGACAACGACCTCACCGAGAACCCCCACAAGCAGGAGGACAGGGGTTGTGGCAGGGACAGTGACAGAGCTGCGCTGAAGACAGATGGCCGCCCAAGGAAGGGTGTCTGAGCGGCCTGGGGTGGTGGAGGAGTCCAGGAAGGCCTTACTGAGTGTGACCTAAAGGATGTGGAGAGATTCGCGCGAGTGGCTTTCTGGCTGTGAGCCTGGCCCGACGTTCAGGTCCTCAGGCAGGCGTGCACAGGTTGGCAGTAGCACTCCTTTTGCACCAGGGGGCAGTGTTTGCCTTGAAAGTCTCCCTGCCCTCAAACGAGGCTGGGACAGGGCAGCCGCTGCTGTGCCCACCGGGCCCCCTCCTCACCCTGTACTTCCTGCCACTCCCTTGCGGGCCTTGATCAGTCCTCATGCGCCTTTCTCTCTGAGCCTCCCCCGTTTCCCAGTCCACAAATTCCCTCGGCCCACGCAGGGCCCATTGTCCCAGGTGCCGCTGTTACCCCCTCTCCCCTCTGCCTGCCGCCTAAACCGAGGGTTGCCAGGGGCGACGCAGAGGCCCGCCGCTCAGGGTGGGAGGTGGGCTGTGCTGCCTCAGGCCCCGCGCTGTTTCCGCTCCAAGTCTCTTCCTGCCTTTGATGTTCTTGCGCCCCTTTCTTCTTCATCTGTCACCTTCGTTGTTTCTCATGTCCTCCCTTCAGCTCCCCCTGCTCAGAAATCTCTGCCTTGGTCTGTCCTCTCTTGGGCGCTTTGATATCAGCCGCTGCAGCCCTGAAAGTCAGGCGGAGTCTTTCCCTTTCATCTGTCCCCGTTGGCCTCCAGCCCCGGGCCACCATCCGACACGTTTAGGACAGCGCGGAGGTGCCTGGAAGGAAGGCTCCCCGAGAGCAGCCCCATCCATCAGAGGCTCGCTTCTGCCACGGTGTGGAGTCCTCCACCAAGAACTCTTTCTTTCTGGTTCTGACCTGCTTTTGCTTGCAGCCAGCCGCTGAGGCCAGCTAGGGGCAGGGGATAAAGCCTGGTAGGGGTGCTAGTACTGGGGGTGGGTAGTAGGAAGTAATTGTGTAGGAGCCTCACTAGTTAACTTGGAGATTCCTGGGGCCTGTTTCTGACCCGCTCTCCCTTCTTCTCACCCCACCTGGCTGCTCCAGCACACGTCTGAGATGGATGTGCTCAGGGACTTGGGGACTGGGGGCGGGCAGTTCAGTCTGTGGGCTTCCAAAACAAACACATCAGCCAGCTACCCCCAAAGCAGGGCCACGGCTTTACTTTCCTCTGTGCTTCCTGCCCACAGTTGCCCTCTGAGTCTGCAGGAGCTGCTGTGTGAAAAACAGGGATATTTAGGGTGGAAGCAATACAGATCCTCGAAGGAACATTCCAGGGCCCAGTGCTTGGCCACAACAACTATTCAAGTGGCCGCCTACCCTGATCCCAGCAAGGCTGCTCTGGCTGAGAGCACGTCCTCCCTGAGCCCAGTGGCTTTATTGTCTGGACCAAAATTTGGATGGTGATGGCTTGACAGTGGAATTTTGTGCTGCTCTTGGTTGCAAGAGGCAGCCTGGGAGGTGCAGTTTAGGTCTGAAGTAATGGGACCTCTAGTGACATTTTGATGATTTATTGGATGAATTGAAACTACCCTAGCTCATCAGGGACACATGATTGCTGGCACTGTTAGCCTGCTGCCTGGTGAGAAGTGCAGAGCCCCACTGGTGGCCCTGCCGAAGTTCAGGCAGTAACGCATTTTTATCAGGAGTGGGGTTTTGGCTTTTGGTTTCCAAGTGCCTGTCACGCTGTGCTTCTGATGAAAGCCATAACGTATTCCTTTAGTTAGGTGAGGACACCCTAATGGGTCAGCGCTCTTGCTCTAGAAGGAGACATACAAAGTGGGCTCAGAACTGCCCCTGCTGGCTGACCTTGAGTGTGACTTAATCCCACTATGCCTGGTTCCTTCTGTCAAAGGGAGTGATAAGCAGCTTGAGGCTGACCTGAGTTAGTACGTGCGGAGCCCAGTGCCTGGGAAAGAG